GGGAACAGAGGGGAGGAAAGAGGGAGATGGGGGAGGGAGAGGAAAAGGAAAAGAGGGGGGAGTGAAAGGAGAGCGGAAGAAGAGGAAGGGGGAAAGAAAAAAAAGGAAAGTGAACAGTCTTCTCTCAACTTTTCCTCTCTCCCTATTTTCAGCAACGCTCGCTATCTCTCTCTCTTTCTCTCTCTCTCTCCAATAGTTGAAAAGAGAAGCTGGTCCAGCTGTTCTGCAGGGAGCGTGGGAAAACCGGCTCAGAGGTCATAAGAGGTGTATATATGTATGTGTGTGGTGGTCATCCTGGCATTATTATATATGTGTGTCTCATTGTCCAGAAGGATGGAGATGGCGATACAGCAGCTGGTGCAAAGAGGCCTCTAAGCTGACCTTCAAACCCCTCCTCTTCCTCACACCGCCTGTGTGGTGGTGGTGGTGGTGGGGTATAATGAAGTCATCACGGCAGGATCTTGGCGAGATGTGGCATATATAGGAGGCGATGGGGTGCCATCAGAGGATGAGGAGATGTTTCCAAAATGTTGGTAGGTCGGTCACTTCCAGCAGGTTACAAGTCAACATTTGGACGTTGACAAAGAAACAGAGTTGGCTGAGAAAACTGAGTCAAAGTAGTTGGTGAAGTCTGGCAGTCAATGAAAAGATGTTTACTGTCGCAGATCCAAAGGGTTTGTTGATGTTGAGAGACAAACTTTCATTTTACAGGACCAAAGCGGTGTGTTTTGGTGGGGATATTTTTTTATTTTAATTAAACAGCACAGGAAAGAGGTGACTGCAAATGGGGAGAGAAAAAATGAGGAGGGATGATGGGAGACACAGGTTGCTGGAAGGACATGAACCTGGGACAGTGCAATTACATGGTCAGTGTCTTAAACCAGCAGGCCATCAGGACGCCACAGACCACTGTTTTTGCATGTCACAAATGTCTACAAATCATGTATACTGAAGATTTAAATTTTTTCCAAAGTCTATTAGTCTCTAACTTAAAGTAGTGTAAAGAGTATAGTAACGTAATGTATGAATGTTATATTAGATTCATGTTTTTTTTGGAACCAGAAGTAACCATATTTGGACGAGATGGTAGCGCTAGCTAGCTTGATTAGCAAGGTGCAGCTGTAATTATCATTAACTGTGATAATAATTGGACAAGATCACAGCTAGTTAAATGTACACAGTGCAGTGGATAAGATTCACCTCTATATAGCGCCTAAGTCCCTTCCTACCAACCCATGTGACTTTATTTTGTAAAAAAAATGTACGGTAGTCAAAGGCAAGCGGCATTTCATTTTGTGATCCTGTCTGAATTGTGCCCTGAATTAAACGTGTGTCAATTTGAAAGATAATTTTGAAATAAGTCACAGTTTGTCTTAAAAGAGTATGGGAACATTTAGCTTTGTGTGAAACCAGTCAATAAACTACATCTCTCGTCTTGCACAATAAATGTCACCAACATGTTAACGCTGTAATGCGAGCAAACGTTCATTTCTTGCTACTAGCTAGGTAACTTAGCTGATGTTAGCTACCGTAACGTTAGCTTAAATCATTGAGAGAAACAGTTATGTCTAGGGTGACCAGACGTCCCGAAAAATCCGGGACAGTCCCGAATTACGAGCAGTTGTCCGGACCCCTTTCTGGTTTGTCCCAAAAATTAGACCTAACATGAGTTTTGATTATAGCCTAATTAAACATATACTGATCGTTGTATAGTTCGCTTGCTCCAGCAGGGGTTGCTGGTTATCTGTGCATTGTGTCAACAGCGTTGTTATAGCCACAAAGTAAAACTCGTTGTGCTCTTTTCCCCTTTTTGTTTTCTTGTGGTTAGTGGAATTTACAGTGGCGAGGACAGGGAAAGTGTAGCTTCAGGCAGCCACAGCACGGCGGACAGATCTGACACGCACGTTGTGTATGTGACACTGCACTGATGACATGAATAAAATAAATATAAAAATTAGGTAAAAGAGCATGATTTACCTACATATCCACAGTTGTGTTTTATCTAATAACAGACAGGTGACTTCATGAACAAAAATAATTTATTTAAGCATTGTGTTTTCATTTTCATGTGTGTTAATGTTTATTGGTACCGGTAGCCACCTGAAGGGGAGGCTGTCTATACTGAACAAGTCGCTGTGGTAGGAACTTGTCAATCATTATGTAGCCGCGCCCTAAAGCATACCCTATTCTCCCTAGTCTATTTTACTCTAAATGGGACCATAATTTACAAAGTGAACGTCATGCTGTTTTAAGGAAGACTTGAAACTAGCGCCTGAGACCATAAACTCATTAGGAATATATTTCCTGAGGTAATGCCCCAAGTAAGAAAGGGGTCATTTTCTTATACACTCCAATGCAATGGGACTTCATTTTTGGCTTCACTTTTCAGACCCAGAGGTTGCCGCTAGTGTGATATTGTGAGCCATGTTTATTTAGTGTGAGATAACATAACATTAGGGAATGTAACATTACATTTGACAAAAGCTGTAGTTATTTGATTCACCATAAATACATGCAGGAGAGCTTAAGATTGTGTTTTTGTCACACTTCTGTTAAGAACTAACTTTGAAGCACTGTGTCCATTGTTTCAAGGTTCACATCAGTGTTTCTAACTTTTGATGCAGCCACTGGTTCGCTTACAATATCTGAGTACAATTTGCATTCCCTGTATTAGAACACTGCAGGTTGTGACCGCAGCAACAGTGGGCACACCCTCAGCTGTGGCTGCTCAGGCATCTATGACATTGCAGTTAGATAACTAGCAGAGCTAGTTAATCTAGCTCTCTCACCAACTGCTGTTGTGGCTGACTGAGACAGACTGTAGCTGTGATTATGACCATAGTCATGAGATGACAGAGCTTTGGCCATTACTGTCTTTGTGACGGTCATGGCTGTGCTTTGGTTGTTTTGATCATGGCTGTGACACATTAGTTTAATACTAACTACATGTAGAGAGGTTGGATGGATGGATCAGGGGGAATGCACAAAGTATTTTAAAGTAAAAAATTCCCAACGTGACCCTTTAGGAGTTTCCTTTTGATTCCATAAGGTATGAAAATCACTTTCTAGACACTTACAGGCGGAGCTTAAAAGAAAAAAAAACTTCTGTGGACAACACAAGCCAAGTGGACTTTGAGTTGTGAGACACACACACACACACACACACACACAAACAATACTAAAGACCTCTGACACCTGTTCATTTCCGATGGAGAAACTATTAATTTCCTGCTGAGGGAGATAGTGGAGCTACGTCTCTGTCAGAGAGATCACATCTCCTCTACTTCCTGTTCAGAGGAGGAGGAGTTGACAAACAGCAGCTCCACTCATTCACCATCAGTGACAGGAGGAGAAAAACAACATGTATCAATACTACACCAGTTTTCAGTTATCAGTATCCCTTTTAGTACTGATAAAATACCAAAAGTCAGGCCTATGGAAAAGTTTTGAAATTCTGGATTCTAATGACAGGATCTGTTTGCATCAGCATGAGGTTTTTAGCTAAAATATGTCTTATGTAAAATCCACCTGTTCTTAAATTAATACTCTTAAATGTTCAGTGTCTAATTTTTAGGAGGATCTATTGACAGAAATGTCAATGTAATATCCATAACTATGTTTTCAATGGTGTATAAAGACCTTACATAAAGAACCATTATGTTTTTATTACCTTAGAAGGAGACATTTCTATCTACATACACCGCGGGTCCCCTTACATGGAAGTCGCCATGTTGCACCACCATGTTTCTGCAGTAACCCATAACGAACAAAAGTCTCCACAGAGTGAATTTCGTCACTACGTTGAATATGTACGAAGAAGAACGAGTAACGTTAGTAGTTATAGTAGTAATTAACTGGTTTATTGGAAGTAAGAAGACATTTATACAAATGGAGGACCACATATATTATTTTGCACAAAAGCCGACAGTGTGTGTCGGCCACCTTAGCTTCTCCAGCGTGCTTGGAAAGCGAGGGGGTGAGCGGTGACGTATGATGCATTCATGTGGTGTCAGAATAATTTTTTCCTCCTTAAATCTTTATTGCAAAAAGAGAAATAAAGTGTGCATTGACATAAAGAAGTATATAGAACTTTGTGCAAAATCACATATTGCATATACTTTACATATTTTGTAAACATGTAATTTGTAACAGTTAGTTTGCTGTCCATGTAGAGTGAACTAGATGACTGTGTGTTGTTTTTTCGGTCTGATAATGCTAATCCAACACATCTTTGTAGTAGCATCCATGTTGATTCCAAATTCCGACATGAACACGCGCTGAATCCGGATAAACCACTTCACAACTCAGGAAATGAGACGATCCAAGGAGCATGTGAATACACCGAGCCGCTGGTTCCAATTAGCAACAATCACCATTAGATGCCACTAAAACCTACACACTTTACTTTTAAGGTTTTGGGTCACCAATGATGCTATAGAGCAGAGTCTACCAAGCCCCGGGGGGGGGGGGGTACCAGGTCTCAGAAGATTTGCTTCTAGGCCAAAGGAAAACAATATGATTTGGCAAAAAGGCTGAGTAATATTTTGTAATTTTATAGTTTAAAAAACATAAACATAAAACATAACTTGGTTTGCGCTGCATTTTTCCTCATTACTTCCTGTCACACCAACAATATAAATATAGTTAATCATAATGTGATGCATAGATTTGTTCTAGCTTTCAGCAGTATATGAAATCTGTGTGCATTCCCCATTACCTGGATGTTGCTGAGGTCTATCCAATGATATTTGTATTCAGTCTGGTGGATATTTACACGCTGTCTTCTCTGTGTACAGTGCAGATTCATTCAGGTTAGAAAATGAATAAATCTTCTGTAGACTGCTCCACAGACTGAACAGTAAAGATGTACTGACATCAACAGATTTCTGACCATCATGTGTCAAAATTCAGTTTGTTACTGTGTCCATGTTTCTTTGCTCCAGTGACAAATTCAATTAGGCCTGATTTTCATTGCATTTTAACTGACTTCCAGCCGCAGGTATTCAAACAGCCATCATTTAATACAACAAATAATTAATGGTTTACAGTGATTAATTACTTGCAAACACTTCAAGCTCATGACAATATTTCTGTAGTATTTGTTTTGTCAGATGCATACTGACTTTTCAGTACACACTCTGCCTTTATAAAGACAGAGTCAGGCCAAGTTCTACAGCTCAATAATAAAACAGGTCCATTTTATCCTCCATAACAATAAAGTGCACTTTGAGTGTGTTTAAAACACATAGGCAATACCTTATACAAGGCATTTTACATTAAAGAAACAAAATACAATATGATATTTTACAGATCTCACTCATATGAAATGAGCAGAATTAAAATGCGCCGAGCTGCAGGTGAACTCTGCTTCACCTCCTCCACCTCTTGGCAAAATGAAGTATTTACTGCCCCCTGATGGCAAAACTGATGATATGCGACAAAACTATGACAACTCTTTTGGTGAGCATCAAAGTGATAATATTTTCAAGTAAAATCCATCTTCAGCTTCAGATTTCTTCCTCCATTTAAAATAAAACAAATTGAAATGGCACTTTTCAAACAGGATCCAAGTTTAGGTTGAAAACCCAATACAGCCTTCCAGAGGAAATATACTTTCAGACATTGACATCTTCAATACATACTGTTTGCAGTTTGGAACAACACAGATGTTGTTTCGCTGACTATTTAGAGGAAAACTAAAAGCTGCTGAGCGAGTCCTTATTTTAACTTGACTTGTACTGGTAGATATAATAATTGTTGTATTTTGTTAAATTATATTGGATAAATTTGGTTCAGCACTAAACCAAAAGAAAAAAAAAATCTGCCAGAAATGTCTTACTTAAAGCTCTGGTATATTTCTCGAATTTCTCAATCTTACATGGAATTACATACCAATAACTCAAAGATGTTAAGTGTTAAACCTTGTATTTCTTATTCCAGTGTGCACATTCCAACAATCTTTAGAAAAAGCCTAAAGTGTACTGTAATAACAGCTAAAATAAAAATATTCTTAGCTACCAAAAAGAAAGGTTTTGACATTTCCGCTCCCTTAACTGCTGCATGTAGGAACTCTTTGCAACTTTGTGTTGACCATAAAGATTTTTCCCCCACAATTAAAACATTCAGAAAGATTAAAATCAACAAATCTTTTACGATACTACTGATCTCTTTTAGTAAAACTAGTAAATCTGCATTAGTGAGAAGAGAGGCTGAGCGTCTTTCTACTGCTGCTAGTTGGCTAAGAGATGAGCAAGACACTGAACTGCAAGCTGCTCCAGGTAGGATCTGCTGTGCCCACCTGTGGGAAAACTGGGAGACTTCCTGTGTTGAATACTGAAAAGATAAGTAAATAGACCTGAAATAAATTCATTGATGACCTCCACTGATGGCTAACCAACTGCTGCTGAAATCTGAAGCCATACTGTACCAACTTAAGAGTTCATAAATTAAAGTTAGAGTTGGGTTTGAGGTAGAGCGAAGCATGACTCCTGGTTTAGACGCTGCTCAGGGAATAAACTCTTGGTCTCACAGTTGGAAACGTCCCAACTGCTACAGCAACGATGCCTTCAGGGAAGCTCAGGATTGACAGCATAAAACTGCCTTTGAATTCGGGGGGGTTTTGAGTTCAGCTCACGAGAAGTCCTTGACTCTGAATCCATGTCTGCTCCAGTGATGCTGCTCTGACCTCTGGCCTCCATGTGGGAGAAACTGATTCAGACAGACTCAGAGATCTGTTTCTTTTCACTGACTCACCTAAGAAGGAGGTTCCCTTTCAGTCCTTACATATACAAACAGCCCCCCCCCCCCCGGTTCACAGGAAGAGGTTGATTTTGGCGGGGATGGCCTTACAGCCCGTAGAGGAGAAGTACTGTCCCTTGACGGGAGTGTAGATCATGTAGCCCCCTACTGCCTCCACCACGTCACTGCGGCCACAGCTGCCCCGCTGGCAGAGCTGTGAGTGGACACAGCGCTCCACATGACGTCGGTTTAGCGGCAGGAAAGGAACGAAGCGGGTGATGAGCTTCTGCTGGATGATCCTGGACTGGGAGAAGCCGCCTGGACAGAAAAACTCACTTCAGTTTCCTGAAACTGGCAACTTTGCTACTTTCTGTGTGTCTAACATTTAGGTCGCTATTGTGCACCACTGCAGTACACCTAGGAGGCTTAGTATCTGCAAAATATTATGATATACTATTTACTGAATATGGATGTTTATTCTCTATTCTATATTTTAAAGATTATATTTATTATGCTCATTTTCAGGATCAAAGTCTTGTTAAGGGGTTGTACCAGAACAGGTTTACATGGTTTCATTTTCAAAAAACACCATATTTTTTGTGATGTCACAGAGAACAAAAGGAAAAAGCTGGACTACAATCGAGCAGTTTTCAGGAAGTTCAGAGCAGAATTTTCAGTGGGAGATGGGAACTGTCTTCGGGCTGGACTTTGGGCTTTTTCACTTTGCAAAGCTATTACATGCACAAAAAAGATAGGGAGAGGGAAAAGACAAAAAGCATAATATGATGTCTTTAAGTGAAAACTGATAAAACTGGAAAGGTTAGTGTTATTTTAAAACCTTAATCCTTAGTCCAGAAAATGTCACAAAATAGTGAATATTAGCCATCACAAGTCCAAGATGTTTGTTTTGTCCAACCAAAATTCCAAAACCCAAAACTATTCAGTTTGCAGCACATAAGAAAAAGAAAAGCAATTTGTTCATACTGTAATACAGATGAATTTGATTAGTCAGCTCTAAATATTAGAGGAATATGAAACATTGCAGGTATATAACAGAGCTCTAAAAACATGTCTTCAATCCTGATACAGAAATCATCATCATTAACTAATTTGTTTTTTCTCATATACACTTTCTGAATGTACATGAATACACACATCTTTTTAAATAGCTTCCCTGAGAGTTATGGCAAATAAGTTTTGTGCACACTGTGCATCACAGACTTACTTGTAACTGCAACATAAACACCAAATGTCATTCATAACATCTGACAGAAGGTGAAGCGTTGAGCATAACACATTTCAAACAGCACTTTGACAAGTGAATTTAAAAAGAGAAGATGAAAGTGTTGTGGCGAAGAGACAGTATGTATTAATCTGTGAATATTGTCCAGTTAAAATTACAGGAGACACTTACTTGTGTTGCTGTTGTAAGCCGCTTGGGCGATTGCTTCCTGCAAGTCGGCCCACTTGATTTCTTCTCTGTCCTGTCCAGCCTGCCGGTTCTCCAGAGCCATTTTATTTATCACCTCCTCTCCTGTGGTGCTGCAGGGAAAACACAAACACAACACTGTCCAGTGCTGCTGTTTTGATGTGGAATTTTTGGGATGCGTCCCAGAGAGAATTTTAACCCCCGCATATTCACTCTTGATGATAAGGATCTATTTTCCTTTTGAAAGTCAGATGACAGTTTCACTGTTTGTTGGCTTCTGAAACAACTTCAACAGAGTTTCGCACGGAGGGGAGAGGATAACGACTAAATTCTAAAATCTAGTGAACTCTAGTTTCTGAATCACATAAGTACATAACAAACCATCATTCATAATTTTCAGATTTACTTATTTAGGATTTCCTCCGTTTTCCATCATGACGGCTGCCCTTATTCATTTCAATGAGACTACAGCCTTGACACAACATGGGTCCTGACACAGAGATGCCAGGGAAAAAGATATTCAACAATGCCCTGTATTGGCCAATCAGAAACTGCACATGTTCAAAATTATTGTGAAATCCTCTCTCATAGTATTTTAAACTACTGTGCAGTGTTTTGGCATCTGAAAACCCTTAAAACTCATGGATCTATACTCAACCATATTTCATCTTCTTACCGGAGCCCTAGCAGCGCCCTTTTTTTGGTTAAACAGCCAGTAAGGATGTGTGTGTGTGTGTGTGTACCCAATGAAGATGTAGATGGCCTTGCGGTAATTGGTGCGAAACACAACGTGGGAGGGACCCAGGAAGGGCTCCAAGACGTCTATAACACCTGGAGGCATCTTCTCCATCTCATCAAAAAAGAAGACAGAGCGAGCGCACTCCGTCAGGTTCCCCTGCACCCAGCTCTTCAATTCCTCCTGCAAACCAAAGGAAGGAAATTCAGTCCTGTAATTACTCATGACTACAGCTGCAGTGATTAAATTCCATTGTCCTACACAATGATCCCTCACTTACCCTGTACTCATTGACCTGGTCAGGTAAGGGGAAGTGTAGGGTGGGAACAAATTGGTGAACGTATGGGCTGTTCATCGCCGAGCCGTACAGATGATTTCCCACCATGGAGCTGACCAACGTCTTTCCTGTTCCAGAGGAGCCATGGAAGGACAGCACCAGGGGCCGCTCAGGGGTTTTATTCTGAAGGAACCTCGCCACCTCCTCTGACACGATGTCCTGGGCCAGGTGTTGTCCGTATACATTTTTGTAGAGATCCCACTCCAGGTCTGGTTGTAAAGAAATAGACACCTGTGATGTTCATGTTACCAACCATCCTCAACACCTACTTGGCTGACAGCTCAATATATCATACTTAGACACTAACTTGTACTACGTTTCAAACAAATTGGTCCAGGAACTAAAAGTCCGTTTAGAACATGGACCTTTTTTGGGAGGGGGCTTAAGAACTTAATTTAGACCCTTGTTCCTTCAGTTGAAAGACAGGAAAGGTTTCTCTGTTCCTGAAAAGGTCGAAACGACGGTAGAAACAAGCTAACGTATTTGACACAAGACAGACCTGTGCCATTAATTTGGTTATTTCTAACTCAACTTGACAAAATCCAAAAAGACCCTGCCCAAGCTCAGGATATCTTTGCTACTTTTTGACTGCTCTTGGGGCAGTACTAGATGGCTGGAGTATCCTTGTTGTGGAGTGTCCTATGTTTAACGTTATGCATTTATGGGAAGACTCCGTGTGTCTTCCTTGCCAGCAAAACAGCCAACTAGTAAAGTAACGTTAGTTCTTACACTAACTGCAGTATTAACTAGCTCTTTGTAAAAACTGTAGACTACAACGTCAGTTAGCCAACCCTTCCTGCACACGAACAAAACCTATTAAATATGTTAAAGTTTCCGTTTACTACTAGCAACTATCTAGTGACAACTATAACGTTACTGTTTTTAGCCTAACCAGCTGGCTAACAAGAAGTAGCAACCGTCAGTTAACGTTGGCTAGCTACGACATACATTTATTAACGTTACCTCGGATGTTCGGCTTAAAGTCGCATTCACAGCTGTCTGATATGCTGCAGTAAAGTTTCTGAAAAACGCCGCAAGCTGGGTTATAATGATATAAAAACAGCACAGACAGGACGGCCAACATTTTTGGCTGCCTGTTGGAGAACAGAAAAAGCGAGTTGACGTATTCCTAACGAAGACCGGCGACACCGGCAAGTTTGTAGTTTTTCCACTTACAGGAACATGTCCAGAAACACGAAACCATCTGACAGAGGGGACTACATTTCCCAGAAGGATTCTGGCATGGGGCGTAATGTGTTGGGTTGGACACGTTGGAGGATCACAGTCCAGAAAGCCCAGCATTTTATCATACATAAATGTAAATGTATTTAATTACACTGGACATATTTGCAAAACATGCCACTCGGGAACTGCATGGTAGAATACAAACGTTGCTGTAGTAGCACAGAAAACAGCTTTTTCACTAGTAAATTTATTTACTAATGAAACAGTTGAATTAGTAATAAGCAAAATAGAAGACACTCAAAACATAGAAAATGTCTTTGATACAGTAGAGGGTGCTATTAATCTGGAAATGGTCTATTAAACAAGTTAAATTAAGTTTTTATTTTTATTGTATTTAAACCACACTGAAAAAATCATTTTTTAAAACAATTTCAGCCACAACACATGGCACTAAGGGGGTAAAAAAACTTTTTAGGATGACAAGACAATCTTTTGAGATTTAGACGCTCACAGATATATTTGTGATCACACCATCTTGCACCAAAACACTTGAGTTTGAGACCTTGAATTACATTAAGAAATCCCACATTTCTTCAAATAAGTGTGAGAAATATGTTTGGGGATACTCACCATGCACAGCACGAGTCATCTTTAGTGGAGACCAAGAAATGAGCAACAGGCATGTAAATGACAGATGCATGACAGTTTTATCCAATAAACTGACTGACAGTGAGATAAACATGTTTATTTACATTTCAGATTTCAGATCAATATTAGACACTTCTCTGTACCTGTATGCTGTACTCATGTGGTTAGGTTACTTTTAGTTCACACACTTCCAATTCACAGTGATAATGAGAGATACAGTATGTGAAGTACACCGGAAGAAAAAGGAGTTTAACAAAAGCTATGAACTGACTGTGAACTGATCCTGGCACTGATTACAGTACTTGTAATCTCATTAAATATTCACTTCAAATGAGAAAACCCCAATGATTAAAACATGAATATAAACAGAATATTATTAGAATGTTATTCTGTTATTGGGTTGTACAATTTGACATACGGTTCATACACATTTAAGGAAGGTCCGGCCTTCAGGAAGAGATAAAAACATTTCTAAACATTAACTGAACAGACTGAGGCACAGCCCCCATGCAAACACATCTCAGAAATGGTTTTCTTTTGCAGAACAAAAGCACAGCAGAGGAGTGGATCTGTACTGATATATACACTGATGTCTTATGTTCACATTTTGGTTCATTGTTGGATGGATCTAGTCCTCTGTTAAGAAACCTAAACATATTAAATAAAGTGAAAAAAGATTGAAGTGGTTCAAGTCCTTAGTTTTCAATATAGTATAGACTGTAATGAGGATAGTAAGTGAGAATACAGTGAGTTTCTAAATGTACACCAAAGCAGTAGCTGGGATGTTATCAGCGTTGTCCTCCAGGTGCTGCACTACCTCATACTTGCAGTTCCTCCATCATTCTGCATCTAGTTGTTTCTTCCAGAAACTAATTATTGTCCACATGACGATTTGTGACTTTAATGTATAGTATAGTATAATTTAAGAAGCACTCTGCCTTGGATTTGATCAACTGTGCTCAGCTTCAATGGTTCAGAAAATACAGGTATGAGAAATTAACCCTTTAGTGTGAGAACACATTTGAAGCTAACATTCATGCTGCTAATGTGCTTTTGACCAGGAACCAGGTCTATCATATTCTGTTACATTTGGCCAGATTTTGACAGACAGGGTGGCGTCCACTTGCGTTTTAATGACCTTCCAGTTGCCCTAGCGCAAGGTACCAGAACCCCAACGGCTTAGTGTCCAACAGATTGCCCCATGTAGGAATGAGAACATGACAGTAAGCTTATCCCGGACAAACAAAGTCATTAAAACAGGTCTGGGGTCATCGTGGTCTGGCGGGCGGCTCCAGCTTGTTGGACAAGGCGGTCAACACCTGGTCAAACTTGGCATATCGCAGAGCCTGGCTTTCCTCAGCTCCCCTGCTCCCCCACAGCAACCTCATCTGAAAGTCAGTAAGGAAGAGCTCCAGGACTTCCGCCTGCTCCGGGAAACCTGCAGCATCACACAACATTGTTCACTTTAACATCATGGTCTTAAAATGTTTTCTTCTTCAAAAACAAAAGTTCTGAAAAAAATCCATACCACTCCTCCAAACCTGGGTGCAACAACAGGATAAATATTTAGCAAAAAAAAGTGTAATAATAATTTTTGTACTAATCATCTGCATTACAAGCGGCAGGTCGTCAAATCCTACAAATAGTAGCTTTGAGGCTTTTTTGAGGCAAATTTGAAAAAGCCAATTGATTAACAGATATGGATTACTACTTATTATTATGTAATTTACACTGGCATGTACAGTATATACCTTTTGTTTGATTTATTTCTGTGCATACAGAATGTTGAACTAAATGAAAGGTAGGTTTCGATACACACCCATACAAAAAAAGTGAGCGGGCAGCAGTGAAACACCTTTAATGTAACACTAAGTGAGGTGTTGTGTGAGTTTTAAATATACAAACATCAAAGTTCCTCTTTTTCTTGCATTTTATTGTGGCGCTTTGTTTCAGGCTACTTATGCAACCTTCATTACCTGACGTAAGTGGGGTACTAGGAAAGTATGAGAACTGTTGCTTTAATTAAACTACTACTCTGATCTTGTTATTTAAAATAATGCAGTTATAATGTCCTTCTGACAAGTACTGATCAAGAACACAGCCAACACCAAACAGTGTTCTCCCTCTCTTACCTTGTAGTTTGCTCTCAGCGTTGGAGCGGTAGATGCCTCCCAGCTGAGCAATGGTCCTTGCCGCCCCCAGGTGGAACATGACTACGTCCACCCCGACGTCCACCGTCTCCCACGGCTCTGTCCCATCGCCCATCGCCGTGCACTTCTCCAGCAGAGACAGGAGGGGCAGGATGTGGGGGAAGGTGGTGTTGGACAGCGAGCAGCTTTCTGGAGGACAGAGACGCATGCTCAGTCAGTCTGGGTTTTTTTTGTCTAAAGGAAGGCGTTCTCTACAAATATACCATGAGGAATCACTACCTCTCCCTTCGTTCAGACTCTTCATAAACGGCCTCAGAGTTTTCTCGTAGAGAATGGCGCCATCTGTGTGCCGCTGACGTAAAGCTGTCCAAGTCTGCTCTAGACGGGACACCTGAGAGACAGAAAAACATCACCATTAAACCCCACCAGTGGTAATGGTTTTCAGATACAGGGCCCCCCTGAATGCCCCCCACCCTGCCAGAGGCAGAAAATGATTGGTAGCTTCTTACTATCATGAATGATGCAGAATAACTGTAAACTATCATTTGTAGTTTGTTTTGAGTCTCCTTGTCAGGGTGCATTGCTCCTAAATAAAAGGGATGGGGGGCCTGTCTGTGTCCAGGGGCCCATTATTCATATCAGTCCACGGATGTAGGTTATTTCGCATTCATTTATTACAGTGAATAAACAATATAAATGTGAATAATGTACAGTTTATTGCTGGCCAATATTGCTGATTGAAACATCTAGTTCTATTAGCTTTACTGGCAAGAAACAGGGCTTTTTAAACTTGAGCCTTAACACACAGTGGTGCGGCAGTTAATGCTGTCGCCTCACAGCAAGAAGGTTGCGGGTTCAAACCCCGGTTGCCCTGACCTTTCTGTGTGGAGTTTGCATGTTCTCCCTAAAATTGTCCTTAGGTGTGAGTGTGACTGGTTGTTTGTCTATGTGTGTGGCCCTACGATGGACTGGCGACCTGTCCAGGGTGTACCCCACCTTTCGCCCGATGTCAGCTGAGATTGGCTCCAGCCCCCCTGCGACCCTGTACGCAGGATAAGCGGTTGACGATGGATGGATGGATTTTTTCTTTGTTTGTTACCTTAACTGCTAGATGTAATGCAAAGGGCTACAGAAGCCGAAAAAAGCAGTAAATGCTGACCTATTTTACATTTAGATCGGTACAGTCAGAGGTGATGCCATGCAAATGATCTTTTTAACAGATAGTTGCTTCCTCTACTGTTATAAAGATAAGCCATTTATGTTATCTAACTTATCATTTCATGCTACCAACGTTTACACAAAGAGCAGAGGACATAGATTGCAGCAATCCTTTTAATAGCACCAATCAAACATTATATTTAGTCACGGTGCAGTATCATCAAAGTGCGACAGTGCTCGCTGTTTTCAATGTACACAGGGCCTTTGTTCCATGTCATCCCCCTCATGTTTGCTACTATCTCTGTCAATAAAGGCAAAACTACCCCAAAATCATCTTAACAAGAAAGACATCAGTGCAACTTCTCTCTGTGGGATGCATGTTTATACCTGTGGCAGCTCTAAGGCTCTCATGAAAGCAGCAAAGCCGAACATGTTGCCCATGGTGCTCTTGAGCTCAGCAGCGATTTGGATGATTTTATGCAGCACACCGGCCCGCTCCTCAGTCGTCCCTGTGCAGCCCAACACGTCCACAGCTAACATGGTTGCCATGGTTTGGAACCTGCAAACAAAAATCACATATTGCTTCAGAAGGGAAATTTCTAATCTCTTAAAAATGGTCTCCAGACACCGGACGTAACCATATTTGGAAAATATCTTGTCAACATTTATGTATTTATGTAACATTTATATAGTTAGACTAACACAATTCATAGTTTATCCTCATTATTACATTATAATAGTTGCTAAAATACCTATATTCATGTTTATTTGTTTAAATAATTTTGTTTCTCTAAGCTACCTATTGTTTGCATTCATTCATTGATTAGACCACATTATTTGCGCTGAAATTCATGCTGTATATAAACTAGGTTATCCTTATTTCTGTGCCTAATAGTATCTAAGATTGCTACCTTTAATAACACTTTCAGTTTATTTATCATCA